ATCATTCCTCTCAGAATCAGGAGGACTTGGTATCAAGCAGGCGGAGTAGCTTGTGACCTCAGTGGCCTCTTCTGGCTGAGCAGGTTACACCAAGTAACTTGATTACGGTTTTTGGACATTGACTCTATTTTGTACAGTGGAGACAAAGCTGCCTGTGAGAATACAGAACTCCAGGGTTCAGGAAGGCCCAGGGCCCAGCCAGCTGAAGAAGGCAGCACATTCTCTACTCTCTTTTGCATCCTAGTCCAGTCAAGAAAGCATCTGACCTGGTGAAATGCTCATTTTGTAGACATGACGTGTGCAAGTTTAATTTCCGAATGAAGCAAAGGGAAAATTCCTGGGCATTTTATGTGCATTTTTCTTCATGTGATCCCAGAATCAGAGTTAGCCATTTAATCCCAAACGAGACATGACCTCACTGGGGTTTGTTCCTTGACTGAATTTCGGAGTCCCACCCCAGGACAGCGCCCATTGTTCTGCCCAGGAGCTCTGTCTCCTCCCTGATTGAGGGATGTGTTTGGAAGGGGAGGGGTATCTCTAGCAAATGTTTTCTCAACAGATACTTGGTGGGAATTTCACTGTTCTTTTATCACGAAAATAAGCCATTTAGTGGTTGATCTGGAAACCAAGAACTGCACAAGTTCCCTTGTTAAAATTCTTCAATCAGGAAGTGTTTGTTTCGTTGGATGGCCTTCATTAGAAATTAGAGAAACAGGTCATTAGAGGGAAATGGGAAGACCTCTCAGGAGTGCCTGGAACACTTTCTTCAGAAGACACACATTCAACTAGATTCTTGAGAAATGTTACTAAGAATAGGTCCTCAATGCAGCCCCATATGACGTACTCTTCAACTTCCCGACAGTGACTATTTCAGATGTTTTCCATTCCCTTGAAATCTCTATTCCTGTCTCTTCTGCTCACCATCCATTATTTAACAGGGAAATTAAATCAGCAACTTCTTTCCACCCAATCTGAAGACTGACCGCAGTTGCACCAGCTCTTGGAATTACCCTGACTGTTCTTCATCCCTCTACTCTTACAAATAGTCCGTCCCGGTCTCTTCTTCACCCTTCCTTCTCCAATGGATCTCTGATGATCCTGGATTCTGACTTCCAAGTATCTCTTGAGTGTATTCCCTGGGTTCCATTTCCCTAGGTTACACAATATCTCCCTTACTGCCTCACCCACCCCATCTGTTGTCTGTCCAATCCATTCTCACCACCACTGCCAGAATGCATTCTCTTGAATGCTAATCAGATTGTCTTCCTCCCTTGGTGGAAGCCCTTTCACCCTCCTTAGAATAATCAAAATTCTTTAACCTGGCTTATCAGATGCTGCTCACTGCTCCACCTTATCCATCTCATACTTCTCACCATCCCAGATCCCACGATCCAGCCAAATAAGCATTTTTGTTTTTTCCTGTAATGCTGATTCAGTGCTAACATGGCTTATCTTCAACAGCTGCATTCAGTATGAATATAATATAGGCATAAATTATAGCCCTTGGGAAATGTGACTCACGAGTAACTACTGCAGAATGGATTCACCAAAGAACAAAAACAAACACATCCATGGTTTGTAAGAAAGTGGGAGCCTACCCAAGAGAGAAAAAGGCTAAACATAAGAACAAATCTATTCACTAGTAGAGTTTTAAGTGGAATGTTTATAGTTTCCTTAATGTGCCATAAGGACTTAATAAATGTTTACTGAATTATATGGGAATATTTAAAACTCTAAATCATTTTTTGCAGTATCCCTCTTTAAACCCATTTCTTTTTCATTCCATTAAACAAATGACAACTTTAATGAGGGTGTACTGGTATATATAATTTAATGAGCATGTACCCTAATCTATCAACTAAAGAGCAATTTTTTTTTTCTGATCCAAATATTAGAAGCTAGAGGCTTTCTCTGTATGCCCCCCACACACACACACACACAAACACACACACACACATTCATAGATGCTTTGAAGTCGGATTTTGATGGAATTGGACATTTGCAGTTGAATTTTAAGTGGAATTGAGACTGATTCTGGGCTGGATGTGTAAAAAGATATTCAGAGGAGAACAACCAGGACATTAGGATGTTGAGCAAGCCCTGCCATGGCTCATCACACAGGGCTGTGCTGGAGCCGACTCGTATCAGCTCACAAGAGCCAACTGCGCACACCTCTTACTCCACATCCAGGGAAGTCCCCTCAGTCATTTGAAATTGGCCATGGATGGAGTATTTGCACCGCAGAAATTGGAAAACTCTACAATCCTCCTCAGAGAGCCCACTCTTACAATTTGCCAGCAGCCCTGGTTGGCACCTGTTGCCTTCATGATTCATCATTTTAGCATTTGACCATGCCCTTGTCGCTCTCAAAAAGGACAAATTAAATAATCAATATGCATATCAGGAATAATAGGATACTTTGTAGATTTTTCAATGGAAGAAGTAAAGACTGAGTTAGAAGGTAAGAAGCAACTATAAAATTATTATCTCTTTTTTTTGTCTGAAGAACTGCTTTTGGCTAGTATACAACATATTCTGCAGAGGGAGAGCATGAGACAGGAAAGTCTTGTGAATGCTACAGGGAGACATATTTTTATCTGAGTTTAAGGAAGGACTTCCTCGTTGGCAGAGTTGAATCATCATCAAACAGGAACAGACATGTGAAGGGTCAGTGAGTTTCTTGTCAATGAAAATGCTTAAGCAGAGACTGAGGGCCAACTTGAGAGGATATCAAGCAATGAATTCTTGTTGTGTTAATGTTCTTCTGAGGGTTCACATTTTGAATTGAATCCTCCTCTGACTGTGCCTGGCACAGACATTTTGGCAGTTCTCACAGGGTCATTGCTTGGTAATATGTGTGTTTGGGAGTTGGTGCAACAACCAGCCAGAAAACCAATTCATTCAAAATCAGGAAAAAAAGAAAATAACCCAAACAGACATTCTTATTAATTCTCACTGTTCAATTTTAAAATGAAGTGATTTGAGAGGAAGTATATGCTAACCAACTTACTACTGATTTATTTCTGGTTCCAGATTTTGAAATCTATTCCACTTTAGCACAGTTTGACCAAAGAGAAGAAAATAAACCAGTGTGCTTTAGATCACTGGCCGCCAACCTTTTGGATCTCACGGACTACCAGTGGTCCGTGGACCACCGGTTGGCGGTCGCTGCTTTAGGTAACTTTAGAATTCAGGTAGGGGGAGAGACTTTTATAATAAGTGGAAGAGGAACACATTGCTTAGTAGTGAGGACTGCAGACACTTCCCCTGTTTCCTGTATTAGCCAGTCAATTAGAACTATAGGAACTTGTAGTTGGTGTGGATCTGTCTGCAGGCATAGTGTCAGCAGTGGGTGAAACTGTATGAGAAAAATTGACTTGTCCTTGGCTATGGAAAATCAGGCTACAATAAACAATTCTGTCCATTACCCAGTTTCTACATTGTGCCATGTAGTAGTCAGGCTCTTTTTCTCTATTTCGTATTTCTTTAGGAATTAATCATTTTGATTATCATGTGGATTCTGCAGTAAACCCAAGAGACCAAACAGGATACCTTCTTCAGAAGTACCCAAAATACTGTTTTAAAAAATATATTTTTATTGATTTCAGAGAGGAAGGTAGAAGGAGAGAGTGATAGAAACATCAATGATGAGAGAGAATCATTGATCGGCTGCCTCCTGCATAGCCCACACTGGCAATGGAACCCACAACCCAGGCATGTTCCCTGACCAGGAATCCAACCGTGACTTCTTGGTTCCTAGGTTGACTCTCAACCATGCCAGCCAGGCCAACATACTTATTTTTAAAAGAAATGACACACAAGAGTAATTGTAGGACATTTACTTGAAAATTAATTAATAACTTGGCAACATTTTATCTGATGAATTATAACATCTCCCACATTAAAACAATGCAAAGTAAAAAGCTCCCTTCATGAAAAGTAAATCTCTCTTGAACCCCAAATCCCTTCCCATCCATCATCATGGTTTTCTACTCCATCTGACAGCCTAACTCCCAATAAATGGGATGCATATTGTGTTTACTTCCGCTCACCTTGTTCCACCTTGTTCCTAGTCCAATCAGCCATTTGCCTCCCAAACTCTACTGACACATCTTTCAACAGAGTCACCAGTGACATCACATTGCCACATCCAGTGGTCAGTTCTCAGTCCTCATCTTGACCTTCCTTCATCTCTGACAGATGATCACTGCTTTCTCTTGTCACACTTTCCTCACTTCACACCACACATCATGGTTTTCCTTCCATTTCAAGCAATTCTCCTTCTCAGGACCCCTTGTTGGATCTTCCTCATCTTCCCAACCTAAGATTGGGTTGCTCAGGGCTTCATCATTGGAACTCATCTCTTCTAACTACTCTCTCTCTGCTGTGGCCCCGTCCATGTTCATGGTTTTAAATACCATGTATATACTGATAACTTCCCATCTTGTACCTCTGTTCTGGATCTCTCCTTTCAACTCCAGAATAATATACTGTCTACCTGACATCTTCATTTGGTTGTCAGAGAGCATATGCTATTACCACAACAGAACCTCAGCTATTGAGTCCCCCATTTCAAATCTCTTTTCTCCCAGTCCCATCATCTCAGTAAATGACACCAGCATTCACTTGATTTCTTACACATGTCAACATTCTCTTGACCCAAATTACAAACCTTCCTTGTGGGTGAATAATGGACATTGACTCAGAAGCCAAGGCACTCCCTCATCCCAAATGTACAAGAGGCAAACAAGGCACAAAACAATACCAACTTCTCAGAAAAAACATCTAAACGTTGTCCTTGGAACCACCGCTGAGGTTCTCACTGGTCTTCTAGGGTCACACACTTCCTCAGAACCCAAATGAAATGATGTTGGGCAAGAAGTTGTTTGCTTTGGGTGTAGGATTACACAGGGTGTGTACTTACACAGAAAAATCTTTAGAATGACAGTAATAGAGCACCTACATTTAAGAAAGACACACTGGGAAGAAGTTGTACAAGACCTGGAGGTCTTCATAAGAGACAGTCCAGCCCTCTGGAACAGTGAGAAATTTAGGGGCAATTTTTGGCCATTTTTTTTTTTATTTGGGGGAGATTTTTATTATTGAATAGGATTGAAAAACAAAGATGTAGACAGGCAGTGGGGAGGCTGTTTCTTCTTGGTTCTTGTTTTTTGTGAGCCACCGTTGGCAAGGCTGTCCACTCGTGTAGGCATGGGAACCCGTTAAAGAAAGTGTTGATTCACTAGAGCGAAGCAGAACTCAGTGGCCTTTGTGTGTGGTGAATGCTCCCGGAAAGGCAAAGAAGAGCGAGATTCTCCTGTGGGCTTTCTCATCTCCATGGCGGTAGGTGCTGACAGCTTGAGAGAGAACCCGAGGAAGAAGAGACAAAAGGTGCCTCGCTGCGGCGCTCTTACAAGATGAGAAAGGCCATGGGGTTTGGACCTAAACTTCATTATCCGTAACTAAGGTAAGACCATGTGGTGGGTTACACAGCGATTCAAGCCTGAGCCCCTTGCGCACCTGCTCTCTTAAGCTCATTCTGTTTTGTAGAATGACTGCCAAGAGCACGGTGCTTCCCGTGGCTCAGTAGGCAGGCTTTACTGCTGCACCGTCTATGGCTGGGAAGAGTCTTTCTGTCTCATATCATCTCTGGGGAGCGCTGGACCAAACTGATGAAGAGTGTTTGTGCCATTTATGGATCAGTCAAGGGAAGTAACATTCAGAGACTAAAAACCTGATGGCTTAGCCAGCCGAGCTTTACTTATTGACGTGGAACAATGTGGAAAAGGGTGCGTCTTTAATTTCCTGTGGAAATGATCATTCATAAAACCGTCTCTTTTTATGTCTCTGTCACTCTTCCACGGCTCTGAGGGGACAACAGAGTGGCATTGAGAATTTGAAACTGTGGTAAAGTATGCTGTCATTGGTCTGTAATGAATCGCGTCTTTACAACTAAAGATATAGACAGACAGGCTGCAATGGCTCATTAGAAAGAAAAGAAAACCACCTGCTGACAGGTCACTTCCATAAACAATCAGCTCCTCAAACTCTGAAGTCTGAGTCGGCATCGAGGCACCGGCTTTCTGATTTCTGACAGTTTTCTTCTACTCATGGCCGCCCTTCCATTGCGACTCAAAATTGTTGCTATGGAGTAGGTAACTCCTGGCACGTCCCACATCTTCAGGTTTCCAAGTTGCTAGTATAGCGAGTCCCAACCTTTCTCTTTCCGTGGCAGAGACAGACTAGTTAAACAAATTACTACAATTCTGCGGCACACCAAAAAAATATGTCTTGCTGATCTGACAAAAAAAAAGTAGGTATAATTTTGATTCATTCATATGGACGGCTATTGTTGTGTTGGCTGTTATCATTTCTTTCATTTGACAATCTAAGGGGAAAGAGGTCCGTGCCCTGACTAAATAGCCAAGTAGCTGTGTGTTTTAAAAACTGTGCAGCACATGGGGTGAAAATCGTTGTACCAGTGCGGGAGCGGAGGTGGAGATACTGCAGGCTGTCCACTCGGAAGCTCCGGGACTGCTTGGGTGTGGCCTGGGGTTTAACCAAAAGCATGACTTATCTATAAAACTCTCTAAGCTTTTCTATATAAAACCCGTTCCCTGCTAAGAGCCGTGAAATCATTCTGAGAGCTCAGAAGGAGCTGGGGGCATTACTGCCAGAGGATCAGAAAGCCCATAGTCCTGAAGGTAGAGCCCAAACGGGTGACTTATTAAAGGCAGTGTGACCCTTCCAAGTTGCCTCACCTCTCTGCCTCCTCTAGGAAGCCTTTAATTATCTCCACCTCTTCGATATTCTTTCACCTCATTCCACAGGGTAGCTGGAGCCTAGAGAGGACAAACTAAGTGACGATGATAATTATTAGCCGTTTCAGAGAGGAGGGAAACTGATACAGTAGCTGAGCCCAGAATCAGATCTCAACTGACTCAACTCCAAGAAACATACCTCTTGCTCTCAGGTTTGTGAAAATACAAAGCAGATGGTTTAGCACTGAGGAAGGTGGAATACCCGTGCAATGTCAGAGGCAGTGTACGCCAGCCCAGACCTGCTCCCGGTGAGGTTTTCTGACCAGTGGTGTTCAGCTGGCAGCTTCCCGACCTCACATTCCACCCTCCTCTCCTCCCCACTGCCTCGCCCCTCTGCGGAGCCCATTCCCCGCAGGCCAGCCATGCCGCTGAGGTCTGGGAAGATATGCTGGGATGGGCTGGCCTGAGGGTAATACGGTAAAGAGAGTGAGGGCCAGGGACATTCTTTTGTGTATACATAGTTTAGTAAAGACAAACCAGTCACTTCACGTCGGGAGCTTTAGAAATCCTAATGTCTGCCTCTGTGGTTGTCACAGTGGCTGTTTCGGATCAGCTGAGGCAAAGCGCCTGTTTTGTCCACGTGATCAGCTTCCTGTGAAACTGGCATTGATGGGCACCTGCTGTTACACAGGGTTATCTGAGTGGGTTCTCAGTGTTGCCCTTTTCGCAGAGATGGGGATCAGAGGTAGAGTAACTGGTCTGGATTCATGTAAGTAAACGGTAGGGATGAGGTTCAAACAGAAATCAGTCTGATACCAGAAGTCAAATCTAAGGCTCTCCCCTCTGTTCAGCTCCCAGCTCTGCGTTTCCCTTCCCTTGTCCCTGCCTCTCCCTGGTGGCCGAATGGCTGCCTGACTGGAGCCCTATCACTCTACTCTACCCTGCCCTCCAGCAGCATCCTGAGCTCTGTCCTCCCACAGGCAGAGCTGGGCCTGCCTCCACCCATCCAATGCCAACTCCAGGTCAATCCTAAATTCTTGGCCTTTGACCTTAGGAATCTGGCCATTATATCCCCTATTAAGCCATGTATGTCACACTTGACACTTACGAAGGCATTGACACTGTCTCCAGGCTGTGGGGGTGACTCTCTCAGCTCACAGGGCCCACTGGCTACGGAGTGAGAAGCTGTGAGTGGTGTATTCTGCCAGGCCAGCTGCTAGACCAGCCTTGGCAATGACCTCCCATGGCTAAAACACTCACAGGACATTGCCCTCCATCTGCAGTTTTAGGAAGGTACTACTCCCACTTAAAAAAAATTCTAGCTCAGCTGGGTGGCTTAGTGGTTGGAGCATTGTCCCCTTTACCAAAAAGGTTGTGGGGATCTATCCCTAGGTTGCAGGTTCGATCCCTGGTTGGGATGCATGGGGGAGGTAGTTGATCAATGTTTCTCTCTCTCCCTCTCCCTTCCTCTCAATGCACATATCCTCAGGAGAAGATTACAAAATAAAACTTCTTAAAAATTCTAGACTCTAATGATAATACATTCTTTACCCATGTGCAGTTTTTTTGTTGTTTTGTTTTTAAATGAAGATGGAAATGTGTTTTTGTGTGTGTTTTTTCCATCCCCACCTCACCACCTTAGGTTGTTTTGTATTCTTTTTTAAGAGAGCCAGTCAGGTGTGGCCACAAGAGGAGATGGCGTCAGGGCCCAGGAAAAATAAAGTTTATTATATTCATAGGTCCTCAGGACAGGAGCCGTGGCATGCAACAGAAGACCTCAGGGGAATGATACCAGGTGGTCAGGAGGTGGGAGATAGGAGTGAGGGGAAGGTCTAGGTCATGGTCTCTATCGGGGTTTGCACGGAAAGGAAAGGCAGGCTGGGGTGAATAGTTTATAATTGGCCAGTTCGAATAATTTGGCAGGCTTTGGGCTATGGGGGTGGTTCCTAGTTGCTCAGTACCTTGCCCTGGATGATTAAGGCAGAAGAATTTTGCCTCCTTGGATATGGGGGCCAGAGAGAGGAGGTAAGGCTCTGTATAGCAAAAGCACGCTCCAGGCTGGGTCCTTCCGTTTCTAAGAATTGGCTAGCCCTCTTGGAATAACGCTGGGCAGTCTCTCCCCAGCCAGAGGAGGGCCCAGAATCACCATTATTATTGGAGGAGAAGGCAGGTTTCTGATCACAGTTGGAGAACACCCTTGAGGAGAGCAAGCCAATTTTCTGTCTCCCTCAGTGAAAATGGCCTTTGCCTAATTACATTGAAATCATAAACTACCTACAACATGTGTGGGGGAATGTTGATGCTCTAACTCCCATGTCAGGAACCAGATCACACACACACACACACACACATACACACACACACCTTCTCTTCAGCACTGAGCCCTTATGATTAAGACTGATCACTCCGTAAGAGTCAGGTTTCTGGCTGCAGAAGGAATTCATGCCAAAATAAGTGTGGACTTTGGATCCAAGCAGTAGGAAGCTTTACCCTTGCTGCTTTCCTCAGGATGCTCTGTGACATCATCCACATTCCATTGTTTTTCCCTTTGTGTTCATACACTTTGGCGTATTTCCAAAGGGTGTCTAAAGGCAACAACCGTTCCCTCCACCCCACCTGGTTGCGTAGTCTCACCATTGGAAGCGTTCTTTGCCACGAAACAGCATCACCCAATGAGCTCTTTCTGGAGCCTCTTTTCTGGCTGACACTTTTTCAGATTCTTAATGGCTCCGTCAGGTGGCCTTTTGCTGGTTGAAGGTCCCTTGTGCTTGTGTATACTGATGTGCAATTCCCTAGAGTGTGTAGACCTATCTCAAGAAAGCTTGCAACCAATCCTCAAATCAGATTTTCAGCAACTTGTGAACAGCCCATGCTAGTTTCTAAAGCTATGAACATTTAAGAGGAGAGACATACTAGTCATTCGTATTTGGCTAAATGGCGCCAACATCTCATGAAAACTAAAATGTAAGATGAAAACTAAAACTAAAATGCCACTGCTCATTCCACAGCACCACCAACCCGGAGTTTCCATTTGGTTCTTGGTCCCAGGGCTGCCTTGGTGTGAAGACATAATCGATATGCCTGTGCCATCAGACAAAGCTGGTCTCCACTCATTCTCTCCGGCAGGGCGGCAGGGCCGTTCATCCCCTCCTTCCCTGTCATCCCATTCAAAGAACGCTCTTTGTATGGAAGGGACACATTGGGATTTGTGACCTTGCCCGTGTGGGGGCATACCTCCCCAGTCCCTTTACCCAAGGAGATTTTCCTGTCAGTTCAACAGAAGACACTAATCAAAATCTCAACTATCTCAACAGTGACAGCTGGGGAACTGAAAGTTCCACCACGCGGTTCAGTGTGGTGCAGCCTTGCAGGTCCGGCTCAGGCCATTTGTGATGCTGACCAAGGTTTCCCTGTGTGCGCCCAGCTCTCACTTCCGGTGACATCTGCCCCTCGGTCTGGCTGGGCCTCTTCTTTCAGAGCCTCGGCGCTGTGCCACTTGCCCCTCATCCGAACAATCCTGAAAAGTTGGTGTCATTCTATCTCTTGTGTCTTGTTCATTCGCAGACTAAATCTTAGAGAGATGGAGTCTTCACTGTATGTCAGAGAGTTGGAAAGTGAAAAAACTGGGATTGTGTCCCACGTCATGCTGAAAATCTGATTTGAGGATTGGCTTCTAATTTTTTTTTTTCCAATGAGAGCATCCCAT